TGAGATATAATTTTTATGAATCAGGTTTGAAATTAATTGAAATCATGGAACAAAGAATTTTTTAATTAGAAAAATTAGAGAATATTTTATTTACTCATGAATATTACTTGCTTTATTCATGAAAGATATTTGATTCACTTACGAGAATAATTCGGTATATTCGCAAACACATCATTTGATTTATTCATGACCAATTGGATTTACTCGCATGATTTGCAAGCATATTATGCGATTTATACATAAAAATTACTTGAATTACCGTTGGGAGACGTTTGAATTATTCATGGAAATTATTTGACTCGCTCATGGAATTAGTCATTCGTGTGGTGAGAATATTTTGCGATCGTGCTTGACGTGCATTGGGTATGTTTATCACTCTCGCATCAGTGGGTTTGAGGACATGAATTAAATTTATATATGATTGGTTATTTTGATATATTCGAAGTCTCTCATTGGAATTTTCATGAGTACATGTGGAATTTTGTTTGAATTAAATTGCCCATAATTTTCTGAGCGTGTCATTACTAGAACACGCCTTGAATTAAGAAGATAATGTTCGTATTTGACCTCTTATTTTTCTCATGTGAAAAATGATAAGATGGATGACGTGAATATAACGTTGATAATGACATCTCATTGAATTCTTGACGAGGAACCCAAAATGAGCGAGCACGAATCTATCAATGTGAGATGACAATGGAGGTTGGGTTTTGATGAAGCCAATCACCAATGGCAATCTTGGAGACAGAAATCAAGTTTCTTTTGGTAAGGTTGGATAATTTCCAGCGGTATTCTCGACTTTAAGGTACACAATTAATCTCAACCCTCGACATTTGTTTTGGTCGACATGATCTATCAACGCATTGAATTTCTTAGCACTCTTTCTTGGAGAAATGTGCACCATTCGAATATATTGTAGAGAAATGTTGTTGGGATCGCAACTTACATGGATATGTTTGATCGTTCTGATGCATCTATTGCCATTATTGCTATCGGAATCGTAAATTAAAAGATGTGAATAGACTACGACTCATGAACTTTTCTTGATATTTGCTGGAAATAAAAAACAACAAAAACAAAAAAAAAAACACATGAACAGATGTACTGATATTTAGATACAACATGGAATGCTTTGTTGAAATAAGGAATGGATAATTGGGAATAACGAGTGAAATCTCGAATAGCTACAAAGCTTACGACTACGAAGTCGATTTAAAAAACTACGAAGTTGTATCTCGAGTGGAATCTCGACTAAGCTACAAAGCTTACGACTATGAAGTCGATATAAATAACTACGATGTTATGTTTCTCAAGCAGATTCTCGAAAATGCTACGAATCCTACAATTATGAAGTCAATATATTGACAACGGTGAGGTTGCATATTTTAAATCGACTCTCGAAAAAATTGGCCCAAGACTAACTACGAAAAAGTCAAACTATAGTTACAATACTAGTCATATCAACAAA